AGAGAGAATCTGAATAGGTGGAAGGGAGGAGTGGGTACTGGAGGTGTATGCAAAGCTGAAGGTGTCCAAGTAACACTCCTATTCAAAGAAGGCCGGAGGAGTACGACAGCAAGATTGGGAGAAAGGAGGCTTGTGCTTGAGAATACAGTAAATCAGGCACAGCCAATCTCCTTGGAATGAAATGTTTCATCTTTGTGACAACGGCAGTGCCACTGAAGGATTTTAATAAAAAACTGTGCTTACAGATGATTTATCTGACTGCTACATGTAGAAGGAAGTGGCAGTAATTGGAAAAAATCAGATCAACTAAAAGCCTCTGGGAATGTTTTTTATATGAGTCCCAAAGCAGGTTGGTAGCAGCAAACTTGAAATAAAATACAGAAGAGGCACTGGCAATTAAAGAGGTATCCGTACGAAGAGGGTGAGTCAGAGAGCCTGTCACTGAATTTCACAAAGGTTTTATATTCCTGACGAGCATGTTGCCTAAAGGTTCAACAGTAAAATCAGAGATCCATGTAGTGAGTGAGTGAGTTGGCACTTACCTAACATAAAAGCACCGACCCATTTTCCTTAAATGTTCGCAGATTTTATATACAAACATCTTTAAGCTGTACCAACATACGTGTTCCATGCTTTTTCACACATGAGCGTATTTGTAACTACCAAAGGATGGAGAATAGAGAGATTGACAGAGCCTTTACCTGGCACTAGGCCCTTGGACAATTGCTGGGAATGGGGATCCATAGAAAAAAAGACAATTTGCGTTTGAGGGGCTTGCAAACTACAGCCTTCCTACAAAGCCAGCCACAGCTTAATGACGGGCTGCCGGCTGCTGACTTCCCACTCGGGTCTCCCCTCCAGAGGGTCCTCCCGTCTCCAGCCCTGTCCACGCGTCTGTCTATGAGACTTCCTCACCTGGATGTTCATGGACTTCTCCAACTCAGTGTCTACGACACTGACCACATTCATCATCCTTTCTTGGCACCTGCTTCTCTTCATGCAAGGTTCCTGTCTCAGAGAATGGCAGCAGGCGGGAATCCTCCCACTGCCTCACTCTCACACTGTCTAACCTCAAGTTCTATTCATTCTACTTCCTGGATATCTCTCTTATCCAGCCACCTCTCATCATCCCCATTATCAGCTCTCTTGTGCAGGCTCCCACAATCTGGTGCCTACCAAAGCTTTCTAAGTGGCCTCCTGGCATCCCAGCATGCTACCCTCCCATCCTTTGCCCACACAGTAGCCAGTGTGACCTTTCTAAAATGAATATATGACTGAGTTGCTTCTCTGCTTAAAACCTTTTAATAGTTTCCTGTTGCTGTTAGAATAAAGTGCAAATCCCTTAATATCCATTGCAAAGCCCTTTATAGCCTGGATCCTGCCCATCTTCCCATCCCTACTTGGCTCCTCTCTCCTCGCTAAGCACCAGCCACACAAAATTCTTTCAGTTTCCCTAATGATCCATGCTCTGACTATCTTCCTGGCCTCCACACATTCTATTCTTCCTGCCAGAAACACTTTCTCCCCATCCTGCAAATTCCTATGCCAAGGAATGTTTACCCTGAGCTGAAAAGACAGACTTGTGTTGATAATGATCATTATTCCATGTTGCATATGCACAACTCTATATTTTTTTAAGACTTTTAACTATCCTATCCCTATAACTACAATGACCAGATTTTTCAAACTAAAATTCTAAAGAATAAGACTGAATTTTGGACAAAAGGACTATCTTGGAATACCTTGGCATTATATAACTCCCATTTTATAGCAATGGACATTTAGAACCCTGGCCTTCCCTCACTGGGGACAAGGGATTGCAGTGTGATTCCAAAAGGACAGAGGACAGCAGTTGCTATAGACCCATATCATGTAATGGGCTTGACATTTAGTCCAGAGTGTTGGAGTAGGATGTTCTGTTCAAGAATAATTGTGGAATTTTTTTATGCCTGCTCAAAGAAGAGGTGCCAAAAACAAAACAAAACAAAACAAAACACACACACACACACCCTTATGTACCTAATCTTTGAGGTGCCCAGAAGCAGCTCCCTCTCTTGAAGGAAGAAGGAGCAGAGAGCCTTCTACTTGCCTTAACCTGCCCTAGGACATAGCCTTATTGTCCAAGAACAGAGTGCAATCAAGGCCCTTTGTTGGGGTTAAATAGTAAACAAACACACCCTATAAGGAGGAATAGAAGTGGTTCTGGATTCAGAATGAATGGACATGTATACCTGGACCAATTTGAACCCAGAACTCCTGGGGCAAGTGGGCCAGGTTGTGGTGGGATTTGAGCACGAAGAGAGGTGTCCTAGGAACCCGAGTGACAGACATCCTTGGTGGAGCTTACCACAAAGGCAAGGAAATAATCTTCCCTCAAAGATTCCTAGAGGGCATCATGTTAAGTAAAATATGTCAGAGAAAGACAAATACTGTATGATCTCACTTACATTTGGAATCTAAAAAAACAAAACAAAACAAAACAAACCCTAAAAATCTCAACGTCATCAAAACAGGGATTGGACTGGTAGCTGCTAGAGGCAGAAGGTGGGGAGTGGGGATATGGGGTGAAGGTGGTCAAAGGTATAAACTTCCAGTTATAAAATAAATAAATTCTGGGCTGTCACGTACAGCATGGTGACTACAGTTAACAATACTGTATTTGAAAGTCACCAAGAGAGTCGATCTTGAAGGTTCTCATCATGAGAAAAAAACTGTGATTCTGCCAGGTGATGGATATTAACTAAACTTACTGTGGTGACCATTGTACGATATATACATACATCAAATTAGTATGTGACACAGCTTCGACTGATACAATTATATCTCAATAAAACTGAAAAGACAAGAAGACCCCCAAGGACTTGTGAGTGGACAGGATCAAGAGTGGCCCGGCATCAGCTGCTGGAATATGCTAATTCTCAACAGACGTGTGTTGTGGCTTGAGGGCCAGTGGAGCGGCAACAACAGGCTAACAGCCCTACTCTGTTTTCCTGAGCCCTAATTTTACATCTATTCCTAGACTCTTCTGGTAATTATGGGAAAAAAAAATCATGGTTCGCTATTCTCAAGCCTCTTACAGGTTTACTCAAGATCATACAATGAATACCGGGTAGAGGTAGAAACAACAAAGGTAGTCAGTAAAGACGGGTGGTACATTGTGCTGCCAAAAACACAGAAAAACAGGCCAGAAGGGAAGGACCCATAGCAGTCAAGGACTGTTCCCTACAATGTTTTGACGGTCTCTGGTTCTGCCTGGAGCTACTGGAAGTTACACCACATCCCATTAAGTCTGCATAAAGCCGCAGTGAGGAAAAATGGTTTCTGGACAGAGGAACGTGATGGAAAATGAGAGCAACGTGACCAGACCTCATTATCTTAGTGCTTTTGATAACACTGGAGAGCGGAGTTAGGTTTTGAATTGACTGAAATCTTCCATAAATGGAATCTGAATGCAGGCTACATTAACATCCAGAAATCCCCCAGGGAATTTCCTATTATGTACATGGAAGGGGGAATGAAGCAAGTCCCATCTGGCTAGGCAGAGAACATTCTCTGCTTAAGGGAACTTCATGGTTCTTGTGTTTAGTGCCAACTGCATGTTCATACTAGACCCAGGCCCTGCACACAGAGGTCTAAGTGTACTGAAAAATGAGCTAGACGAACAGGCAATGCTGGGCAATTCTTTGTTTCTAGAACATCCAAACCACAAGGCAAGACATTAATAAGAGTGTCGCTTTTATAAAGTCCCTAACTTGTTATGAGCCAATATTATTACGCACGTTACTCAGAGTTGCTATAGCAAAATACAGTGACATTATATGTTCTCATTAGCTTCCTATCAATACACAAGCTAAAATCAAGAACAGACCAACACACATCACTTAGTGACTCCTGCTCTTTGGGACTGACATTCTCAGGGAAACCTCAGAACTTTAAAGATACAATGACATTAGCCTTATTAGGAAAAAAAAGCACTGATGGGGAAGGTCACTCACCTCATATGTCACCTGCTCAAAGAGGCCTCCTCTGACAAGCCTAAAGTACTGAACTTCCATTCTTCACCATATACTCACCTCTAGTTACCCCTCGACACATTAACTTTGAGAACTATCAAGTTATCTTGTGTTGTCCCTCGTCTCTGAATACAGACCCAGAGACGGACTTTGTATGGTTCATTACTCTGTTCCTAATACCTACCGAGGCTGGCACAGAGTAAGCCCTCAATGACATCTGACTGACGACTGCCTTTCCATCTGCCAAAGAACAAAGAGCTTAATCATCTGTAACTGAAGACTCCATGGATTCCAGAAAAACCAGCATTCACATCAACTCATCAATGAATTGCGTTTCATTGCAATATTGCAATGAAAAGTCTTTTCCGTTATAGACCTGATGGTAATTAAGTCCGTACCTAGAGGCAAAGCGAAGCAACATCACTCCAGGTGTGGCCCGGGACCAGCAACATCTGCATCGCTGGGCGGCTTGTCAGAAAAGCAAAATCGGGGCTCCACCGGAGAGCCAGCGAATTAGAATATCTGAGGTTGGAGCCCCTAAAAAATCTGTGTTCAAGAAGTTCGCCCAGCGATTGTAGGTACCATAAAGTTTGGCACAAGTTATTCAGAAATAAAGGTGAGGGAAAAAAAACCAAGAAACGTCGTAAGGACTAAAATCGCCGGGACAGCTGGGACATTCTTGGTGTCATTTCAATAAGAAACCTCAAAAGAAAGGAGGAGGGTGAGTGATACACAAAATTATATGCATGCGTTTGGCTCACACGTGCCACGGGATAAGGCCCCACACTCCGTTTCGCGGAGGCTTCCCAGACCTAACCTAGCAACCAGCGGCGACGTGACGGCGCTCTGACGTAACAACTCCTGCGTCACGTGACTTCCCCTCCCTCCGTGGGGGACGGCACGCTCCAGGAACCGTTCTTCCCGCGGCTGACCAGGCCCCCTGAGCCAAGGCAGCCCCGCGGGCCGTGTGAGGGCGCCGCGTCCTACCGTGATTTAGATGTCTGATGCAGTCACTCAGGAGAGCGCCGAACTTCTTCTGGTCCACGGCGTCGTGGAAGCAGAAGTAGCCGTGTCTGAGGAACGGCTGCCACAGGTACACGGGGAATTCCTTGGGCAAGACCACGAAGGGCTGAGCGTTCTCCTTCTCACTGGAGGCTAACGCAATGTGGAAAACACGAAGACATTTTAAAATGTGCATCTTTTATTTAAAATACTTATTTCGGGCCGTGAAGGCAGCTCTTTGGGGCGGGCCATGGGACAGAAAGGGGACATGAGATGTCTTCCCAGGATGGCGGGAAATGGCAGTTCAGGCTCCTCTCAGTCCCTCCACAGGTGGCTGTCTCACTCCAGCAGGTGGCTTCGCCCCCTCCCTGACAGGGACAGCCAAGGCCACCAGACATCGCCTTTCTCAACTTCCTCATATCAAGGATCCGCAGTCTGGGTGGCCCCGCCGGCCCTCTTGAGGCTCACAGGTCTGCCTGCGCAGCCACTCACCCTCCCGTCCCCACAGGCGCCCATTCTACCAGGCAGCTCGCTCTCTCTGCCCTGCGCTCCCTGGCTCCTCCCTGTCCCAGCCAACCCAGCACTTGCTTCTTCCTGCCTCAGTCTGCTTCCTGCCCCACGAGCCCCGAAACCCCATGGCTGAGGTCGCTGATGTTGTTGTCCTAACTGGCAGCTTGTGGCTTCTTCTTCATTACCTAAGCCTTTTTTTTTTCTAATTAGCTAAGACTTTTAACCTGATCTGAAGTATCTGTTGCTGCTGACTACCCCTTCTTTCGAAAACGTTCTTTCCCCTTGACTTGCAGGATCACCTCTCTCCTGGTGTCCTTTGTGCTTTTTGAAAATAGTTTCTTCGTGGTCAGCTTTATTGGTTCCTCTGCCCCTTCTCTCCATCCCCCTGCGAAGTGTTGGTATTTTTGCCCTGTTCTGTCCCATTTTGATTAGTCTCTGCTCTCCTTTGGCATGGTCCTCCATTCCATAATATGGAATGTTGTTTCTGTAGGTCCTATTACCTTTTCCTCTATCCTTTCCACCATGCTTTCTCCTAGAAGATTCTCATTCATCCTTTAAAAGTCAGTTCAAAAGCTGCTCCTCTGGGGTGTCTGTTGGCACCTCCCCGTGCCCCTAGAGAAAGGGTTGGGTGCTCCCTACCTTGTTCTCCCTAAATATTGTAGAGATCTGTTTTCATGTCTGACAGGCAGGGTGGACGGCAGAGTGAGATGAGCTCCCCCACTGGTTCTCACACAGTTCCTTTCCCCAGGAAGCAGTACCAGTGCTCTAAGAGGATGGAAACCACACCTTACATATCTTTGTATGCTCAGCCCTTAGCACAGCTGTGGAACCGAGGAGATATTCAACTACAGTTTGTTGAGTAAATGTGCTATGTTGTCCTAGGAAATCTTAAAAACTTTAAACGATGGTCTTTTACCACTTACCTCAAAATCAATTCTAAGAAACTCATGTTAAACCATGCTACTATTCAGATCCCTACCTAAATTTTATTCCCTTCCATGCATTCTCGTTATATGATGTTATGCTTGGCTAAATGACCCCCAGCTTATTAGCTTGTGCTCTCTACCTACATAAAATGGGCACCAATCTCAGGGAAGGGAAGGACAAAAGGACCGTCTCAGAGGCCACCGAAAGCACTAGGCATACCCAACAATGGATCAGAGCCACATGGGAAACTCCAGGACAGAGTCTTGCTACCAGCAAATTAATAAATCAAGATTGGATAAATAAAAAATAGATTTCTTGGGGCATATATGGGGACTCTGGTTCAATGTCCTGAAATCTGAAGGTAACAAAGTAGAATGTGCTAGAAGCACAAACTTTGGCGCACCAGTACCTCACAAACTACCTGGCACATAATAGAAGAATGAATCACTGTACAAACGAGTGAATCAATGATTAAATTCGTTAGCACAGACCTCTAGTTGTAACACATATCTGATGAGGGAGCAGAGGGCAAGCTGAGGACCAAGCAAACTGCCCCTTCCCCACTCTATTTCTCAGGTAGTCCTAGCTGCCCTAAAACTAAGGAAAGGGAAAAAACAGATGGTTAACTGACAGAGATCACAGTCCTGCCGGACATGAGTCTCCATCAGTTTACCAATGTCTTAGTGATTTACAAGGAAAAAGCATTCTTATCAATAGCTTAACTTTCAGAGACCCATAACTCGTAACTCAATTTCCTAGAGCCCTAACATCACCCTCCCTTCCATGAGTGATGTGGAAAACTGAGGCAGAAGGGAAAGTAAACAAAATTGAATTTCTTTAGAGCTGCAGCCCATTGACAAGGACCTGAGATAGAGCATAACATTGCTCCAGGAAGCTCCCAACTGTCTTAATGTTAATGCCTTACTACAAGGAAAAACAAGCCTCCAGTATCCTGAAGTCTTCTTTAGCATATGAAAGTCCTTTTGGACACCTCCCTTTGTCCCTTACGTCCCCCAACTCCCAAGTATATAATCATCCATTCCTCCAACCTCAGTGCAGCAGCTCTTTCTGCCCATGGGGCTGTCCCCGTGCTTTAATAAAATTGCTTTGTCTCACCAACATTCCAAAACTACATCATTATCTATTTTCCCCATTCTTTCTTAGTTATAAAATCCCCAAATTTCATTTGAGCAAGTGACTGTACAATAAAGACTACATTTCCAGCTTCCATTACAGCTTGGTGGGCCCCATCCACTAAGTTCTGGTCAATGGGATAGAAACCGAAGTGGCAGTGAAACTTCCTGGAAGGATCCTTAAAAAGAGGGAATGTCCCCACCTCCTTCTCTTTTCTCCTGCCTGCTGTCTGGAATGTGAAAACCATGACTGACGCTCCAACTGATACTGATTGTATCAGTAAGGGCCACAACCTAGAGATAAAGGGAGAGAAAGCTAAAAAGAGTCCCTGACATTTATGGAACTGCCATATCAGCCCTGGACTTGGAATATCCAAAATATTTTTAGCAAAATAATAAAGCCTTATGTATTTGAGTCTTTTGTTGTTTGCAGCAAACTAGATTCTAACTAACAAATGTCACATAAGTGAATCACTTTAGCAAAATATGAAGCATTATTGATACATCATCTTAGTAGAATACTGTGTAAAGAAGACATACTTATTCATAACCTCTAGTTATGAATCACTTTTTCTCAAGTGAGGTTAATGCCTCCTATCTTCATTGTGCCTTTATTCTTTCCAGCTGAATTTGTATCACACAGTGAGTCTTCCTGATCAACATGGTTTTATGATACAATTCCCCTCACCCTTTCCAAGATGTCACAGTTTTGTACAAACAACTCAAAAGCAACACTGACCCTTTGCATTTAAAAGCTTCAAGCCCCATAAAATTCATTCTTCTTAGTCTCTAGTTATCTCTCATTTAACATTTTACAACAATTTTCCAGATGCCATTGATCTGCATTTTTTCCAAGTTGAGTTACAAAGATATCACAAATGATCTACTGTAGAATATTCTATTTTTAAAACTCAGAGGGCCACACCATTCAATAAAAAAAAGTCCTTGAAATACCCCAATCCGAAGCCTTGGGTCAAATGGCATTAGTCACACAGGCCTTGTGTTTTTTATTCCTGTTCATTTCTTCTGATATGATTTCACCAATAAACCAATAAATGTATTGTCTATTCTGACTGATTTCATTGAAAAGTTCTGCTGGAGAAATTCCGAAGAGTCATCAAGTTGGCATTCCCATTTCTAGCAGCAGCTCCAGAGCCAAGATGACGTACAAGTAGATGTTGAAAGAAAATATAATAATATGTATAGTGCACATAAAGTGTTGTTTTAGCTTGAATTACTTAGTAATAGTTTGTTAATCTAGCTTTATGGTCCATGTACTAATCCTATAATAGTGCTATTAAAAACACTACGCTAAGCATTCTACACCAAAATAACAATTGATAAAATGACTATATTTTTCTCCATAAATTCTAATGATATGATTATGCCCATTAATAAGAACCAGGGCTCTCTTCAAGAAACCAAGTAATTACTGTGTGGTATGATTTACACAAAGCCAGATGGAGTTATTATCCACAGTTCGTGAATCTCTATGAAACGTGCTATTTGGCCTCTATATTATCCATCACTTTCTCTAATGCAAAAAGTGGAATAAATGAGAATCCAAGAACATTAGAGCTGGAAAGATCCTTCTAGATTTTCAAGTTCAAGGGCCTAGAATTAGAGGATCAGAAACCAGAGAGGCTCAACAATGGCTAGGGAAAACATTGATAAGTGTCACAGAACTAGATAAAAATCCAGCCTCTAAATTTATAGTTCAATACTCTTTCCATGACAGCAATCAGGTATTACTTACAGTTATTACTTACAGATTAATGCAATGCTATTTTTATATAGTAGCTATGAGTGACTGTAATGCTTGTTATTTTGTCAACTCAGGATATTTTATTGCATATCATCCTAAAATTATAAAAATAATATTCTCTGACAGGTCTGGACTTGCTTGCTTAAAGGTGGGATTGTATGTTTCATAGAAATAGGGCCCTACCTATTTGTTTCTGCTGCTCTGTATGGTGCAATTAAAGCTGGCATATATTTCGAAGCCTCAAGATGCCTGACAAATGAATGGTACATTTTCCATGGGCTAGAAACACAGTACCTGCCTTATGTATTACTGAATGTGATTTAAAATAACAGAAGTGGTAAAATGTTTACCCAAATTAGAGAAATTACAATCTTCCATGTGTCTACAGAGAATGTGCAGCTAGCCCAGTTTCTCAACCTCAGCAACTATTCAACTGTAGATACTTCATTGTCAGGGGCTATCCTGCGCGGTATAGCATGCTGCCCTCTACCCACTAAATGCTTATAGCACCAGCCTCCCAAGTTGTGACAACCAAAAATGTCTCCAGACACTGCCAAATGTCCTGCAAAATCCCCTTCCGCCATTGAGAACCACTGGTCTAGCAAAACAAAGCCAGTGTCGGAATTTTGCCTTGAGAAAGAATGCTCAGTGACTCACCAATAGGGTCTGGGAAAAACCGATCAGATAACAAATTATATTCATCTTCTGAGGTTAACACCTTGCCACCAGCTGGAAGAATTCGGCTTTTAGGAGTCGCTCCTCTCTGATAGGCCTGGGGAGAAAAAGGCATAAATAGGTGATTTTTTTTCCCCCATTTGGATTTTTGGAAAATGCCAAGAATATTAGAGACACAGGCACACACACTCAGAGATAACAATTCCTACACTATGTCTCTGAGGAAGAGCCACATATTTAAAAAATATGTTTTGTGTACCTGTGACTTGCAAAGTACTTTAGTGATGGTCACAAAATGGTAAATCAGAGTCCTTAATCTCAGGAGATTCACTGTAAGTATGTTTCTCAAGTGGGGAAGACATCCCTTAGTAACTTCTAGAAATCCTGCACCACACTTAGCATTTCAGATGCTAGCACCTGAATCATTCTCATAACCACAAGGGTGATGATGCATATAGACACTCCCTGCACAAAAGGCTTGGGGACCGATGATGAATGACATGGAGGACATATAATTGCAATGATGGTTGCCATGGATTTTCACCCAAAACAGAAATGTGTTGTCATGATAAGACATGACACCACGTGAGACTGTTTTGCAGTAAAATGATCTAGGATGGAAATGCAACATCATGACATAAGAACAAATTCTGGCCAGCAGACAAAAAGCTCTGCTGTTTGGGAAATGTAAAAGAGGGGCAGAGAGGGGCGCCTGGGTGGCTCAGTTGGTTAAGTATCTGCCTTTGGCTCAGGTCGTGATCCCAGTGTCCTGGGATGGAGTCCAGCTTCGGCCTCCTTGCTCAGCGGGGAGCCTGCTTCTCCCTCTGCCCACCCCCTGCTTGTGCTCTCGCTCACTGTCTTTCTCTCTCTCTCTCAAATAATTAAATGGAATCTTAAAAAAAAAAAGAAGTGCAGAGAATTGCTACTGCTCCAGAGCAGTCTGTGCGGCAGATCCACTCACGAGGACAGACAGATAAGGTAAAATTGAAGTATGTGCCTCTGATGGGAGGGCTTATGTCAAGGCAAAATTTTGAGAATAACAGCCTCAACGCAAATTGAGAATTGAAACCAAGAAACTGTATGACCCAAAATCTAGAGTATGCTTTTGGGGAAAACTAAAATAATGTGGGGAGGGGCAGAGAGAGAAGACGACTCCCTGTGGAGCAGGGAGCCTGATGGGGGACTCATCCCAGGACCCCGGAATCATGACCTGAGCCGAAGGCAGGTGCTCAACCAACCAAGCCACCCAGGCCCCCCAGTTGATGTCCATTTGTAAGAACCCCTACTCAACTGCTTAAGCACATGAGGGACCCAGAGCACAACAGAGAAGAATCTAAAGTTGTGACTTTGAGAAAGTCTAAGAGCAGTTCAGCTCAGACTGAATCGCGTTATTTTTTCTAACAGGCCCCAATCTGGACTTTTATAAACTTTATGTTATTTAATCCTCAAAACAGTGCTATGAGTTATTTTCTCCATTTTATAAATGAGAAAAATGAAGCTCAAAGAACTTGTCAATAGCCCAGCAGTAAGTTGGTGACAAATCTCAGATTCACACCCGGGTCTGTCCAGAAAGTGTACAGGAAGTAGGGCATGATTATTGAATGAGAATGCTTCATTTTTTCCTGCTTAATTACCTTCCAAAACCAGACTCTCAATGAAATAATAGGCAATTTATAGGTACTTAATATATAACTCTTAGGTATAATAAAATAATGCCCTTCTATAAATTAAAAAAACAAGGATAATGGGGCACCTGGGTGGCTCAGTCACTAAGCATCTGCCTTCGGCTCAGGTCATGATCCCAGGGTCCTGGGATCGAGCCCCGCATCGGGCTCCCTGCTCAGCGGGAAGCCTGCTTCTCCCTCTCCCACTCCCCCTGCTTGTGTTCCCTCTCTCAATGTGTCTCTCTGTCAAATAAATAAATAAAATCTTTAAAAAATAAATAATAAAAAATAAAAAAACAAGGATATTATTAAAACTTTGAGGAATTATGACAAACTGCATGGGCACTTTTAAAAATTTCCAAGTTTTTAACAGACTAAAGCGCCCCTGGGGTGCTCTGCAGGCACCCCTGTAAAATTTCCAAGTTTTTAAAAAAATATGTAGTTATTACCAAATTCAGTGACCATATCTTAACAACCTGAACAAGTTTATTTAAAAATGATGAGCAAAGCAAAGAAAGCAATATAGTCCATAAACTGCAAGTTGAAGGCGCAAGCCTGAGAAAATGAAAAGAAGGAAAAAACACCAAAATCTGATTCAAAGTTAAAAGTTCAGTTAGTGCCAAATGTGGTGAAAATCCTAATAAATCCAAGAGCAAGCTCTATGAGTGTTTCCTCTCAGTTAGTAGTAATCGTACTGTAACGGCTGTACATTGGGCTCTGCAAGTGGTTGGCCATATGCTAAGTGCTTTAATATGTTCATTTATTTAATCCTTACAACAACATGGTCACGAAGGGATGGATCATGCTCACCATTTTACAGATGAGAAAAGAGCGGCTCAAGGAGATTTATAACTTATTCAAGGACACATATCTAGTAACTGGCAAAGGTGTGATTCAAAGCCCATTATATTAACCATTATGCTCTACTGCCTCTTCTCAAGCTTCCCTGACAGAACATTGTAATGTGCCATACAAAATATGAGGTGATTTATTTTATTTTAAGATTTTATTTATTTATTTGAGAGAGAGAGAGAGTATGAGTGGGAGAAGGAGCAGAGAGAGAGGGAACCCAACGTGTGACTCAATCCCAGGACCCCAGGATCGTGATCTGAGCAGAAGTCAGACGCTTAACCTACTGAGCCACCTAGGCGCCCCTGAGGTGATTTATTATCATTATCATTATTGTATGTAGTGCATTGATAATTTGCTTCTGAGAGCAAATCAAGTGTTGAATGAAGTCCTAAGATACATAAGCAGAGAAGATATTAGCTTAATGAATGTTGAAAAGAATAAGACTACCCAGGAGAGCACTTGAACTTTGCCTGGTAGCCTGTGGAATAAGTTCAAACTGTATTTTATTTCTATTTCCCATCAGAAATGGAAAGGAAGCACATTGACTTGTCAATCTGAGGCCTCTTCCTAATGCTTTAGCATCTGAGGTATTACTCCAAGTATCCATGGAGGTTGTCCTGACTGTTCTTAAACTTGGAGTCAAGAAAGCAGAGTTTTAAACCTGGTACCACCTTTAACTGATAAACATTCACTCCAAAAGGAGCTTGAGGATCTATGTAGACTAAAAATGTGTACAGTGCAAGATCTGGAAGGAACCAGTGGGATCATTCAGCCTGACTCTCTGGTGTAACTGAGGCCCAACCTAAACTTTTGTTTTCCCAATTCACTGCCCAGTATTTTTTCCTTAGACCAAATGGCCTCCCCATGTGAGGAGAGAAATGGGAACCAACAAAAACGGAAGTCCTCTCACGTGCTAGGCACTTTATACATGACCTCATTTTCTCCATAGTTTGCAGACATATTGTATTAGATAGCCATCTAATGATTTTTTTTTTTAAGATTTTATTTATTTATTTGACAGACAGAGACATAGCAAGAGAGGGAACACAAGCAGGGGGAGTGGGAGAGGGAGAAGCAGTCTTCCCGCAGAGCAGGGAGCCCGATGCGGGGCTTGATCCCAGGACCCTGGGATTAAGACCTGAGCCGAAGGCAGATGCTTAACGACTGAGCCACCCAGGCGCCTGCCATCTAATGATTTTACAGAAAAATCATATGAAAACCAGGAAAAAGTTAAATGAAAAAAATCTGCAAGTAGAATGAAGTCTTGAAATGTTTGAATTCTTAGGAACCCATGTAAATGCAGTCATAGTCTTATTAAGTAACTTCTCAGCCGCTTGTCACATAGGAGGCTTACCAGTAGGAAGACATGGAGACATTGAGCCAAGAGGGAGAGATATGAGGGCAGTGACTGAAAAAGACCTTGAAGCTGAATGATCCTAGGAAGGGCTCCTGCACTGGTCACTTGGTGTAACCTGTTTTCACACTCCCTTGTAATTACTCGTTCCAAGTCTATCTTGCCCGCTGGACTGCAAGCATCTGTTTCACCTGCTGTTAGAGGCTCAGAACCTTCTATAACACTTGGCTATCATAGGCATTCAGTAAACATGTTAACTGAAGTAAGTAGCTGCATGAGTGAGTGCTTATTGAAGGAATCAGTCTCAAAGGAGAGGGCATATCAGTCAACCCAGCCAGTGTTGAAGAATGTTGCAAGAACCACTACAAACAAACATCGTACCTCTTTGTTCTCATAGCTCTCCACAGCAAAATCATTTTTGACCACAATGTACCGCTCCTTCCATTTCTTTATGTCGTCAGCAAACTGTGATAGCTCTGCTTCATACAGAACAATTCCAGGCTCCAATGGCGGCTTTAAAGAAGGTGAATATCATTAATCATGGCAACAAAAAATAACATAGCATGCTATTGCTATCACTGAGTCTATCCGTGGGAGTTCAAGGAATGTTTTCAGAAACTATCATGTGCTGAGATCCTGGGGAAATTGTGGCTTCCCCCACCTCCCTCCGTACTTTCTCTTCCTGCTCCCTCTGACCAAATGCAAATATTTGTCTTATTGATATGTTTTTGACTTTCATTTCCCTCCATTATGCTACAAAAAGAGAAGCGGATGGTTGAAGGGATTGTAGTAATAAGGTTGTGCCTTGTATACATGTCATTTAAGGATCGTTGATAAACTCTGGAAGAGGTAGGTAAGTGTAAGTTGTGGCTGTATACCCCAACACCGTGAATATCCCTGAAAACAGGAGAATTAATAGGCTGCTCCTGTATCCACCATACCTTCAGGTACAGGCTCGAGGGTCAATGTTCAACGGTCTTCCCAGATCTAAAAGCCCTGGGGACCCAGACTGTAAATCCTTGCCCCATGTGCATGCTCCTCAAAGAGACTGTGTTCACTCTCTGGTTCAGGCTAGCCAGCAAACTGCAGTTCTACCTTTCTACTTAAGTAAAAGTTTGAGGCTTTCTTATTAACCTTGATGACATATGTGCTATAGGGAAGTCTCTGCTAGATTCTTAGTTAGGTCTCCCTTTGGGTTAACTGTGTAAGGAATAACTCCCATCCTGTCTCATGGTAAAAGCCCTGTATTATCTCAAAATACAGGAATGGGCCTCCTGTCTTTCATGTGTCACTGAATTTATATCTCTTTTCCCTTTATTAAAAAAAATCAAAGTGCTTTTAGAAACGTATCCCTCCACCTTCAAGCTAAATTTACATGAAGCATACGGAGAAGACAGATACGCTAATCTTTTTAAGACTTGGCTAAGGGATGAACTAAATTGCCTTCTGAATTTATTCTGTTCTGACAGATAAAAGAGGCCGTTTCCTATCTTGCCTCATTAACAGGTAAGAGAGGATCTCACTCTTCTCTTTAAATGAGACTGAACCCATGTATAGGCTGAACTTTGTAGTTCTATGTGCAGCATTTTTTTTAACCTGGGCCACTCAAATCAACTGATACACTTGTTAAAAATGTGGCCTTACCCTAGACTTACTATATCAGAATCTCTGGAGGTGTGAGCCAAACTGCATTTTTAACAAGCTCCCTACATTGTGAGAATCACTCTTCTATGGGAATGACACTCAGTTATCCCTACACACCCATGCTGTAAATCTATTGGTCAACTTAAATTCTAAGCAGTATCTGACCCATTTATCACTCCCTCCTTCTTGTAAGCCCTTCTTTATTTGCCTTCTGGCACATTCCTCTTTCCTGATTTTCTCCTCCTGCAAGGCTATTTCTTATCAATCCATCTCGCTGGATCCTTCTTTTCCTGGTCTCCAAATGTCAACTAATTACCTATTCACTATTTCCACAGGTGTATGTCAAATAAGCATCTCAAACTTACAAGGCCAAAAGGGAACACGTGATTCCCATCCACCTCGGACCCTTCCTTCTGAGTAAAAGACAACTCCATGTACTTATTTGCACAGGCTAAAAACCAAGTAGTCATCCCTGACTTTCTCTCTTCTATAATGTCCTATCCAATGCATCAGCAAGTTCCATCAGCTCTATCTCAAGTCCATTTTGACTTGGACCTTTCCTCACAACTGCTACCATCACCACCTCATCCAACTTGCCTTCACCCTTCTTCTCTTGCACTGCTACCGTGTTCTCCTCACCCGTCTCCAAGTTCCCCTCTTATCCCTCATCATGGTCTATTCACTATAGAGAGGCCAGAGAGATCGCTGAAAATTCCAAGTTACTCTGTATTTGATATCCTCCAATAACTTCTCTTCATATTTACAAATAAAGACCCTTATCACAGTCTACAGCTCCTCCATGGTCTGGTCCTTCCCTTTCACTCTGTAGTCATTTATCATCCTTTCTCCTATCATCCTTTCTCCCTTGCTCGCGCTGCTCTTAGCACATAGCCTTCCTGATGTGCTTATGACTGCTGTAGGGCCTTTGTACTTACTGTTCCATATCCTGCAGATATTCGCACAGCCTACTCTTACTTCACTCCAGTTCCCACTCACATTTCATCTTCACAGAGGGCTTCTCTGATCATTTTCTCTAAAATAAGGCTCCTGCTTTATTTTTCTTTGAGCATTTATTATGACCTGATATCACCTGATATTTCTTTATTTGTTTACTGCCTCCTAATTTTAAATATATACAGGAAAGCAGAGAATTTGTCTTGATCCCCAATTCTTGGAATAGGGCCTGACACATAGTAGGTGTCAATGAATGAATACGTGTTGAGGTTGTGGGTAATTATTATCATGGAGCAAAGGAGAAAGAATAAGGGGATTCGAAGAAAAAAATCATATTTGATCAATGACCAAAACAAAAATGCCCATAATATGAGGCACTAAAAGTATGACTTTTTTAAAACTGAACTTCACTACAGCAAGTCAAATTTCCTGATATTAAAGCATCATGTGGGAAAAACAATAAAATTGGATCATACTAGTTTTCTTTCTATATGGATTACACCATCAACAAGAAACCATACACTCTAACTTCTAGGCAGATAGAGTTTTTTGAACATGAAATGATTTGAGAACAGATTTTTTTAAACTGCCATTTAAATTACTGTTTATTTCAGAAATATGATGAGTTATAAAGCATTCTTCAGTGGGAGAAACTGTCAACCAAATGCCCATAGGTTACCTTGGTCTTCAAAAACTGTGATGTTAAATCTCTTTGCTGTTCTACTTCACTGCGTACATGATTGCAGAAAGCCACGGCGTACTGGCGACTGTAGTAGGGACTGAAGTTTTTGATAGTAGCCTCAGTTTTCCCTAGAAAAATATGAAAGTTAGAAATTAGAAATGCAGCATCTCTTACAGAATAGACACATATCTACCCCTCTAAGACCACTGTTTCCCAGGGATTTGTTATGAGTTCACATTCTCTGAGAACTTTGTAACATGCCATACGTGCCTTTATCTCTCCCTCTCCCTGACATCATCCTGAGAGACTCTGCTATCCCTAAGGACCATCCATCCAGTAACCGATAGAAATTTTCATATTGCCAAGGCCATAAGCTCAGCCATCCTTCTAAATCTTTCTACAACTACCACTCTACCTTACCCGATTCTCCACTTCAACTTGCTCTTCATCCCCCTCTACCTCCAGTCACCCAACTCTTACACAATAATCCCAGGGTCCACCATTTCAATTCCACACACACAATATTCTGTTTTTCTTAAGACCCCTGAGACTCCACCTCATCTTGCTGACCCACAGCCCTGGATAAAATCAACGAACTATTTCTTCTAGTTCTGCCCCCTGTGTTTCTGGGTAAATTTTTTGTGTGACTCAAAGCCTTATACAATTACTATGAGGTAGAGGGAAAAGCTTTGGTTTAAGAGTCTAGAGACCTGAGCTGTGGTCCCAATTCCAGGGAGACAGAAACCAGCTGGATGACCTCAGTCAAGTCCTTCATTCTCTCCGGGCTCCAGTGTCCCTAACTATAAAGGAAGGTGCTCACTAGTCCATACTTTTCTTGGAAACTATATGACACTGAAGTATAAACATGAGTATAGCTGCCTTCCAATAGTGACCAGCAACTGCATTATGATCTCTCAGCACCAAAAGAAAATAAAGCTTAGGATCAATCACGGTGGGGAAGGGGGCAGTTGGAGGACTCAAGATGGAAGAAGAGGGAGAGTCAGGCACTAGGAATATTCTTGAGCTTTTCCAACCTGTGCTTAGCTTTAGAGCGTAGGGAAGTTGCAAAGGAGGGAAAGGAGAAAAAGAAATTGGGGAGGAAGGGCAAAGGAATATTCTGAGACAGATTAGAAATCCTCACAACCTTTCAAGGACTTGCTACAAAGTAGAGAAATAAACACAGGTCCCACTGATTGTGCTTACAAACTGTTAGTCCTTGGAATAAGATATTATCTTGAGAAAAAATAAACCTGATATGATATTCCAAAATATTTTTAAATACTTTCATGTGACCTTGGCATAATTTTTGTTTTCAAATTTGATATAGTCACAGAGAAATATTAAAATATACCAGCAAGATTTGTTTAGAGCTATTATGCATGTAAAATTTCAAAAATAAGTGAAGAGTTCTAACTCCATAGATTGAGATATTCAATATGAGAACCTTGAATTCATAGCAGTCAAAGACCCGTAGTGTATGAGTAATCCCTTTATATGAAGAATCCCACTTTAGCTCAGGCATTTAAATCCCATACTATGTATGAGGTAAAAGGGAATTCTTGCTTATTCCCTCAATAAAATGACATTTTGGGGTCATATTTATGGGCTTTAATAACTATTACTTGAAAGGTGCTTTGAGACCCATTAATAATAGGTTCTGTAGAAATGCAAATAAAAGCTCCTATAATTTGAATCAGGCATGCTTTTGCTTGCTCTGTGAGTCCATGGTATGACTATTAATCAGTATTTGCATAATACTTTAATATACTCAGGCTTTATAATTATCTAATTGGTTAATATTTTATTAGCTTTTATATAATACATAAGAAATAAAATTCTAGATCCTTGTCTATAATTTTCTTACATAGGAGTAGGATATCTTTAAGAATTCCCACAATAAGAATGAGTCTCACATCACCAAAACATATAAGCAATTAACAAAATTTGCCCTTTGGGACCAAGTGACCACTATTTTGTCTAACAGAAGAGCAGCCTACTAATTTATGATACTAATTTTTGCACTCCTGCAAGCATTTGGATTTAAATGAAAGAAGGTGGATGCCATTTTATGATGAGCTCTACAAAGCTTTGAAACTTGATTTCCTGCCACATCACAAAGCCTCACCCAAGGATGCCTTGTTTCTACAGAGGTGTTACGATGCCACCACTCCCTTCCAGTGTATGAGAAAAATGCTTCTGTGATTTGAGTATCAACGCATCTTCCACCAGGCAGCATTTATAAAAAAGGGATTGAAGCTTCCTTTGGTAATTAACCTAATGACTGGTTCAAAATGTGAATGAAACAGCTAACAATATCAGAAGTTCTAGGGGGAAAAGAACCTAAAGGGATTCTCAAAAGGTATCTAGATTTTATTATTATTATTTTTTAAGATTTTATTTATTTATTCATGAGAGACAGAGAGGCAGAGACAGAGGGAGAAGCAGGCTCCCCACGGAGCAGGGAGCCCGATGCAGGACTCGATCCCAGGACCCTGGGATCATGACCTGAGCCAAAGGCAGACGCTTAACCGAATGAGCCACCCAGGCGTCCCTGGGTATCTAGATTTTAGATTAAGCCTATCTAAACCCAAATATAGGAACACCGAAGTACAGATCTTGACATTTAGAGAAAAGCCTGGTGTTGGGGCAAAATACACTTTGGTTAGGAAGATGGACTCTGGAGTCAGAAAGACTTGGGTTTGAATGCCATCTCTGCTACTTACCAGCAGTGGGACCTTATGCAAGTTAATTCCCCTCATATAAAATGAAGACAAGAGGAGCATTCTCATAGTGTTATTGTAGTTATTCATGAAATAATGCAGTAAACTGCTCAGCACAGTAGCTGGCACATAGAAAGTGCTCAATAATCAATAGTAATTAAATCAATGATGATAATGGTGATGAGCACCCAAGCCAACCACCAGGGGAAGGTCCTGAAGCTGAACTAAGGAATCAGGGAGAAGATAAAAGCAGGCTGTCTTGGGCGCCTGGGTGGCTCAGTTGGTTAAGCGACTGCCTTCGGCTCAGGTCATGATCCTGGAGTCCCTGGATCGAGTCCCGCATCGGGCTCCCTGCTCAGCAGGGAGTCTGCTTCTCCCTCTGACCCTCCCCCCTCTCATGTGCTCTCTCTCATTCTCTCTCAAATAAATAAATAAAATCTTAAAAAAAAAAAAAAAAAAAGGCAGGGTGTCTTGTGTAACTCTTCAGCTGGGGCCATCCTGCCCAGCTGCACACCGAACAGCCATCCCACTCATTGCAGGTTCTAAACAAACATAACCGACATTTTCACAGACGTTTCAGGAACACTTATCAGCACATACAGGACCCTCAGTACATCTCTAAATGAAAACCAACTAAATAAAACATTGGTATTAATGAACCATAGTGAAAAGCATGAATTAGTTACTGTGTTACATTGAGCCTCTCTCTCCCTGAGCCTCAATTTTCTCATGTAAAATGGGTAAATTGCCCATTTTCACCGGTTTTGTGAGGATTAAGTGAGATATTCTGTAGGTAAAAAAGTGCCTAGAGTAGTGCCTGACACTAGTTGCTCAATAAATCTTGACTATTATTACTAGTATTTAATATTCCACTATGAAAATATTCCAATAAGTGGATCAGCCCACAGACACCACATAAAATAACCTCAGCCAAAAGCAGCTTGTTTTCCAGTTTTCAAGATTCTTGAGTATTGAACTGCCTTCATCCTCCCCCCGCCCCCGCAACCCCTGCTGCAATTTAGAATCACATTCCTTTTCCTAAATTGTAAAACACTTATTTTCACTAAAAAGAGGCTAATCAATAATAGAAAGACTAGAACCAATGAAGGCTTCTTCCACATTTTCTGCACAGGTATATTTCTTCCAATCCTACTCAATAATTGCAGCCTGCGCAGGGCATTGTGTTGGTACAACCAACTCAACCAAGCTACTCATAACACGCTTCGGGCTAATCAGTACCAAAGCTGAAAGAACACTCTTCAACAGCTCTGTCTATGACATTTAGGTTCAGTTTGATTTTGTAAAAGTCAGAAAAGTATCGTCTGGCCCCCTTAAAGCTGTTTAAATTCGTACAGCCTGAAAAACTCAGCACTGTCCTTTGATTCCTTCTCCTTTGTGCTCATATTCAATCATTAGCAATCATCAGATCTTGTCCCTTCTCTTCCTACAATATTTCTTGACCCATCCCCTTGGCCCCATCCCAACTAGCACACCTTCAACACTGTAAAAGTCTCTTAATCTGCCCTCAGTATCACAGCGGGGACATAAACAAACAACAACAAAAGTTCTAGCTCTCAGCTCTGAAAGAGGAACAAAAAAAGTCAAAACCAGAGCGGGAGGTGGGAAATGCCAGTGCCGATACACAGATCCTGGGGGGGCCATGGGAAATAAGCCAAAGCTTGGTCAGTATGGCAGAGGCAGGTCCTGGGGATTGGCCAGAGTGAGTCCAGGGCTGATGGAGCAGAACATGAGAGGCTGAGCCCAAGCTGGCCACTATGGCCTCACTCACCAGAAAGGAGCACAAGTTACCAAGGCCCAGATGTTAGAGTGGTGAATCGTCCGTGAGAACCAGGTCTTGCCCTTAATGCTCCCAGGGAACTCTTGAAAACCTCATGGTCATGGAGCTACAGTCCTCTGGTTCCTGGCCTGACAAGTTTCATTTGACAGGTTGCTACAAGATCATGTCACTACCTTCATAAAAACCTTCAACAGTTTCCCCATTGCCCAGAGTAGTAACCACTTAACCCAGTGCCAAAGGCCCTGTGATCTGGCCCTGATTGTCCTGATTTCCTACCTCTCCTACTCAAACTAAATCTCCTTGCCCCCTGTACATGCTCATGCCTTCACCCCTCCTTTCTCCCCATAAATGCCCTGCCAGCCACTTTAAGATCCTTCAAGCCCAGATGGTGATTCCATCCGAAAAAGAAGTTGGTTCTCCCCAACAATCTCACCTTCTTTTGTGTTCTTCCAAAACCGTGGTCCACTTTGCTACAGCTGTTTAAATATACCTTATCTCTTCTCCAAGGGTATACTGTATTTATGTACTCGGCAAATATTTGTTGAATGAATGAAAGAACAGCTGAGTAAATATTTAAGAGTAAAGCCAAGTACAATGCATCATAATCTTG